TCAAAAAAAAAGGCGGGAAAAAAGTGAGGGGAAATTATCCAAGGACGAAACAACGCCCCCCCCTATACTTTTCCCCTCTTTTAAAACGCCACATCAGAGCGAGAGGGAGAAGGGGTGAGAGACCAAGGAAGGGGGGAGAAGGGGGAAATGCGAGAAGGGAAGGAGGGGAATAAAAGAGGTGGGCAGGAGATGAATGGAGAGGGTAAGGGGGGGGGAGAACGCCATCATATACTATGACTGTAATTTCTTCCTCCTCCCCCCCCCTCCCTTCCCCTTAAACCCCCTCCCCACTCCCTTACCCCCCCTCCCTCCACTCCCTCCTTCGACAGTATCTTCCTTGGTAACAGTGTCACTGTCGGAGCAAAGGAAATGAAGATAAATAAAAAAGGGGAAGGAGGGAAGTAAGGAATAAAAAAAAAAACATTTCCAAAAGATTACAAAAAAAATGAAAGAAATCGAAAGAGCGAGAGAAGAGGGGAAATGAGGGTAAATTACCATCGTTACTAAAAGGAGAGAGAAAAAAAACGAGAAGAGAAATGAAAGAGAGAGACAAGGCACACAGATTCAAAGAACAAGTGTCTCATATGTACAAGCAGCAACCTTACAGATATAAAGATTGTAAATAAGAGATCAAGTCATATGTATCTTTTACTTGTGGGGGAGAGAGATATATGTAAATATACAGATACGTAGATATATATATATATATACATATATCAAAGTCAGAAAAGCGACACCTCTGTATTCTCCAAATAGCCGATAATAATAACAATCCAAATTTGGCAAAACTGAGATAGATCGTCTCAAATTCATCTGTATTCTTTCGTTTAATTTGGTCTTTTTTTTGGTGGGGGGGATGTTTTTTGTCGCTATAAACATAAAAAAACACACATAAAAATAAACATTATATATATATATGATGCACATGTCTTAAACTCATGCATTGAGCAAAAAACGTGAGAAAGCACAAGAGCATTTTTCATTTCTTTCTGCTATTCTGTTTTGTTTTGGTTTCTTGTACAATTCTTGCTTTTATTTTTGGGAAATTCATTATTTCATTACTTTGTTGGTTACTCAGTAGGCAATTTCGGATGAGAACTTGCTTGTACAGGGACATATCTGACCACCACCGTCACCGCCCAGTTGAGATTGTCAAAGTTGGGGCGGAGAAAAAGGGGAGAAAGAAAACGTAAATGACTAATCAAAGAAAACGGAGGCGGAACATTCACGCGCCACGTTTTCTACAGAAGAAAACGGAAGCGGATGTATTAATTCTAGGGGAGACTGAGACGAGTGGATAAAAATACTTGTAAGTGGGAGGAGGGAGAATGAGAGAGAATACGGAATAGGTAATAATGCGTAAAGTCAGGTAACAAGGGTGTGGGCAGGTGGATGGAGTGGGAGTGAGCAAAAATAAGACTAACAGGAAGAGATAAATAGCGAAAGAGAAAGTCAAGATAAGCCGAAAAAAAGGTATCAAAACAACCACAGGAACACAAAAGCCACAAGAATAAGAACAGACGAGAGGGAACGAAAGAGAAAGAAAAGGGGAGAGAGGAGGACGAGAAAAATAGAAAATTGAATTTCACGCAATAAAAATCGTATTCATAATGGAAAACAGAAAACCGACAAGAAATCACAAATCAAATTTCCATCATTATATAACTGTCGTCTTTGGTCAAAAGCGACGTTCAAAAAATGATTATGTAAATTATAAAATGTATATAAAATATCAAAATAATTATTTCTAAAAAATATAATTAAATCTGAAGTGGCCAGATGAACTAAAAAACAAACAAAAAACGCTCTAATAAGAATGTTAAAGCGAATCGATTTTCTTATCTTAAAAAAATCCTTCTTCCTCATCTAAAGCCAAGAAACAGAAAGGACAAAAAAGGATAACAAATAAAAAAAAAAAGTGAAAAGAAATGAAATCCAGATAAAGAAAGGAGAAAGAATAAGACAAGTATAAGAAGTGAAGAAGTTAAAAAAAGAAAAGAAAAAGAAAAAAAGGTGTATTGGATAACAATGACATTAAACCTTAATTACTATTTCAATTAATATAATATGTCAAGTGTAAGTGACAAATGTGATCATTATATCTCAAGCCTTGATTCTCAGCATATCACATATCTATATATCATCACCGTAACTGCATGACATTATCTATCGTATGTAAAACATCTACAAATACCGAATAATTTATACACATGATACCTGAAGATTCAACAAAATGCAATAAACACCATAAAATCATGATATAAAAAAAACATTAAAAATCAACTACATTACCTACCTAGCAACAACAGGTAATCAACACTCACTTAAATCAACACCGTTATTTTTATTGATTACTGTTATTATATCTACATTATAATTACGTCTGTACAGGTAATAACAGCTAAATGATCTAGCAAATGACCATCTATATGTAACGCCACAATCACGTGTTCATTAACAGCGGCGGGAAATTTTGCATAAATCATCCGCAGGGAAATATTGCACAATTTGCATATTCTATTGATATGCAACTCAAATGCTGTTATAGCTGATCGTTATATATTAATGACAGTTATGGTATTGATGATAATGATGATGATCGTGGTGGTGATGGTGATGATGATGATGATGATGATGACTTGTGATGGCGATGATAATGATGATGATGATGATGATGATGGTGATGGTGATGGCGATGATGATGATGACGATGAAGACGAAGATTAAGAAGATAATGATGTGCTACATAATCGTAACATTTCCGCTCTAATGAAACAGTGATCGTGTGCATAAAACTCTAATTCACTTTTCGTGGTGCTAAATTCATCTATAATTTACTTCTGAATGAACGGCAAATTTACTAGACTTACGATATATACAGTGAAAATTAGCGATTTTGTGCTCAAAATGGAGGGAAAATAAAACATTAACCTTTAAGTATCTACTTCTAACTGCTCGTTTATACGACCAGTAAAAAATACATATTGTAAGGTTATATACATCTATGTACATATATGTATTCTGTGTATGCGTGTGTGTGTGTGTGTGTGTGTGTGTGTGTGTGTGTGTGTGTGTGTGTGTGTGTGTGTGTGTGTGTGTGTGTGTGTGTGTGTGTGTGTGTGTGTGTGTGTGTGTGTGTGTGTGTGTGTGTGAATGTGTGCGTGTACATACATGTCTTATATATGCATAGATGTGCATTTAATTCCAAGTATATGTATTGTAGGTCAAACTTCTGGTCCAATTTCGTTCTCAAAATGTCAGCTGATATTTGGCGGAACGAAACGGTCCTTTTTTTGCCCGTATTGGCAGTCGTGTGAACATATATTTATCGTATAGAGTGAAATCAAGGAAAACAATCAATATTCGTAATTATTTCTCTATAACCTTTTAACATTTCTTTCTTTCTCTTTTTTTTTTGAAAATTGAAAACTCTCTTACTGAGATCGAAATCGGACCATACTTTCAAATCGTTTAAAATCTGTTTGATTATGTACAGCTGCATAACAAACACACGCGCTTAATATATACACAAACAGATACATACAAACAGACTGGAACAAAAACATAAAAAGGCAAATTGTTTTTTTTTTTTCTCTCTCTCTTTCTGTTTTTATTTTTAAGAGAAATGTTCATCTTTTTAAGGAAACAGCGTAAAATGGCGCCAAAAAAGTACCCGTTACAGCGCAAAAATTTCGTGAAATTCGTTACGTTCACTAAAGGCCTAAATATACAACGAAAATCTTTAATTAAAAAGATGCTGTTAAGCCTCGTTACTGAGGTCTTACCTGACAGATATGACATGTCTGTGGTTGCAGCAAAATACACACACCAAAAAAAAAAGAAAAAAAAAACGAACGAAAGGAAAAAAAATATTAAGACAAAAACAAACAAGTTTTTGGTGATATTAATAACAGAGGCGATGGGGGGGGGGGAGAGGAGAGGGAAAATTTGTGTATGTGAGAGGGGGGATGGGGAAGTTTTTAACAAACATTAAATGTAGAAATACGTGTTTTATATATATGTACAGAATGACAAGATTAAGTTTAGAACAATATTAATATATATAAACAGACTTTGTGATTATAAGATGCAAAGAACTATATACTGCATTTAAGTGTCAAAAAAGCGGTGCATACAATGAACTTCGAGGGGGGGGGGGGTTGATGAGGGAGGGGAATAATGGGGGGGGAGGGAGAAAAAATGGGGGGAGGGGGTAGAAACAGCAATTATGTGTGATTATCGACTCTGATTCCCTCGCTAATTTCTTTCATAAAATAACTAAATAAATGAAAAGAGAAAAAAAACTGTCGAAGCAACTCTTACATATCTACAAGTTAAAAAAAAAATCAATATATATCTGTACATTACTCTTACATGCTAATTATCTGTAATTATCTGTCATTTCCTTCATTCACTCGATCAGGTAATCAAAAAGCAATATGAAAGAACAAAGAAAAAAAGGTACTGACTTTTTCATACAAAATACTAAAAGTCCTAATTCTAAAACTTCACTCAAGGACAAGACTCAAGGCCCTAAATTCTAAGACTTCACTCAAGACGCACTAAATCATTCAAGCGATCAAACTATAATTTACTTTGCCTTCCTAAAGACAAAATTAAGATGAAAAAAAAACTAAAAAAAAAGAAGATGTTTCTCTATAATTCACAATCTTCTAATACTTAAATCTTAAATATATTTCAGAACAAATATATATATGTACATTTGTAACAAGATTTAATAACAAAACCCAATTTTTTTTTAAGATGAAAAAAAGAGGATACTCTCTTAACAAAATATCAATCACTTCCCCCATAATTAATAAAACAAAACAAACAAAAAAAAAGACATACCAACAAGTCACACACGAATAATAATAATAATAATAATAAAAGAAATCCATTCTCACCAACCCACCCCACCCCACCCCACCCCTCAAAAAAAAAAAAAAAAAATCGAAAACCACACCACATAAAAAAAAAAACATAAACCGACAACTCACCCGGCGTGACGTCACCCGAGTCGGGGCTCTGGAGTTCGGCGCTGAGAGAGCCCGACCTTGACCACGAGTTCTTGGGGGAGCCCTGGGCCTTCTTCAGGCTCTGCATCTCCAGCAGGAGCTCCTCATGCCGGAGGTTCTGCGCCTCGGCTTTCTTCTCGAGCTCGCGGATCTTGGACTGCGGGCGCGGCGGAGGGAAGGAAGAGAGAGAGATGGAGTTGATTGATAAATTTGGATAAAATGCGGTTGGGTGGGAAGGGGAGGTGGAGGGGGTGGGGGTGATAGGGGAAGTGGAGGGGGGGGGGTGATGGGGGAGGTGTGTTATATGTGTGTGTGTGGGGGGGGTGGATGTGAGTGAGCAATGTGACGAATTAATTATTTGATAATAAATGAATGACATAATTTCTGAATTGTTGGATAACGATGCAATACGCTACAAGATGGATAAATCCTTTGATTGGATTTTAATATCTACTTCCTTCTTGGATAATGATGATAGGGATAAATACAGAAATCGTGTTGGATAACTGATTACTTGTGTGTGTGTGTGTGTGTGTGTGTGTGTGTGTGTGTGTGTGTGTGTGTGTGTGTGTGTGTGTGTGTGTGTGTGTGTGTGTGTGTGTATGTGTGAGAGTGTGGGCCTGTGCACGCGAGTGTATCGCGCGTGTGTAGGCATGTATACGTACATGTATGTTAATGTGTGCAAAAATACAGTATACACATGTTGAAAAATAAAAAATAAAATATAAAAAAAATATTTTCTCCAGCCCTCACGCAGACCAAAGTCCTCTCGATCTGGCAACAGTTGTCTCCTGTGCAGTGGGGGGGGGGGGGGGGAGAGGGGAGAGGCAGGGGGCAGAGGGAGGGGGGATGGGGGGGGTCTTAACTCGCCTCAACGGCATCATGATACAGGTGGTTCCCCTTCATGCACGGGGGAGGGGGGGAGGGGGGAGGCCTATTCACACCTGGGAGTCTCCCTGGCTCGCTCTCTCGCTCTCACTCTCTCACTCTCACGGACAGACTTACGCACGTCCATGCTGACCCATTACGTACGTGTGAACAAATGCTAACTATCTCTAGTATTTTTCCTCCTATCTTCCCTTTTCCTCTCTCCTCAGTTCCTCTTTCTACCCAGAAAAGATCTTACCTATATCTCCTTCCCTTCTATCTCATCACTCCTCCCTTTCTCTCACCCCTTCCTTTTCCCCTTCCCCTCTCCCCTTTTCCCATAATTCCATCCCCTCCTCCATCTTCCCCCATCTCCCTTTTTCTTCCCCTTCAGTGCCTCAATGATCCCCCCCATAACTCCTAGTCCCCTCCTCCCCTTCCTTCCTTCCTTCTTCCTTCATTCATTCATTCAGTTCATTCATTTATCTCTTCCCACATCTTTCACTCATCTCTCCCTGCCCCTCTACTCAACCCCTATCCTCTCCCCACCGTCCCTTCCCCCAACCTCCCCCTCCCCTCCCTCCCTCCCCTCTTTATTCAACCCCTATCCCCCCACCTCCCACCCTCCCTTCCTCCTACCCCCCCACCTCCCCTCCCCCCTCCCCTCATCCCTCACCCCCAACCTCCCTCCCCTTCCCCTTCCCCCTTTCATCCCCCACCTCCCCCCTCTTCCCCATCCCTACCTCCCCTTCCCTCTCACCCCCCATACCCCCCCCCCAAAGCACTCACCTGCAGTGCCTCAATGACCTCCACCGAGGCCTTGCGGTCCTTGTCGTTGTAGCGGCTGGTGTCCGAGATGGCCGACTGGCGCTCCCGCAGCTGGGCCAACGCCTCCGCATGCTGCCGTTCGAGTTCTCGCCGCTTGTCCGCAGCTTCTTTCATTTGCTGTCGGTGGGCGGGCGGGGGAAAAGGGGCGTGGGCGGGTTATTCGTTTGTTTTTTTTGTTTTTTCGTTTTGTTTTGTTTTTGTGTTCGGAAGGTTGGGTGGGGTGGGGGGAAGGATGGAAGAGAGGGGTATATATATAAGGGAGCAGAGAGAGGAGACCAAAAAGGTAAGTAGGGAAAGGAAGAAAGGGAGACTGAGAAAAGGAGATGAAAGAATGAAAGAAGCAAGCAGAAAAGGGGATAAAAATAGAAAGGGAGAAGATAAGAGAATGGGAGAGGGAGAAAGGGGAGAGGGAATGAGCGAAAGAAAACAGAATCGCAAGGGAGGGAGAAGGAAGGGAATAGCTCACGTATGTGTCACATCGTGTCATGTCACATCACATGACACGAAAATATATAGACATTAGCAAAAAAAATCAACACAACCATTTAGTTTCGCACAGATCCTAAAAAGCAAAACAAAAACAAAGCAAAAAGCCTAAACTTTCGCTAATATGCAAAAAAAAAAAAAAAAATTGAAAAGAATTGCACACTGCCATCTTAAAAAAACAAAAAACAAAAAATTATACTTTACAAACACATCAGCTTTAATACCGGCGATGCCTTTAACACACAACAATATTCCTTAAAATACCAGCAAGGAAGTTTATCCAAAAGCAAATTAATCCCATAACTCTTTTTTCTTCATATATTCAGGGATTCAGAAGACGATGAGAAAGGAACAAGAAAACGAAATAAGACAGAACAGGAGAATAGAATAAATAGAGAGGAAATGAGAACAAACAAATTAACGAACAGACAATAACGAGAAAATAGAAAAATATGAAATATATCAATGATATACAACAATATATATGTGTTTGTGTATGTACGTCTATATGCATGTATGTACGTATATATTTATGTATATATGTGTATATATATATATATGTTTGTATGTATGCATGTATGTATGTATGTACGTATGTACGTATGTACGTATGTATTTATGTATATATGTATATATATATATGTTTGTATGTATGCATGTATGTATGCATGTATGTATGTATAAATGTGTGTATAAATGTATGTATGTATAAATGCATGTATGTATGCATGTACGTACGTATGTATATACATATATATATATATATATATATATATATATATATATATATATCTATATATATATATATATATATATAATATATATATATATATATGTTTGTATGTATGCATGTATGTATGTATAAACGTGTGTATAAATGTATATATGTATAAATGCATGTATGCATGTATGTATATATGTATGTACGTATGTATATGCATATATATATATATATATATATATATATATATATATATATATATATATATATATATGTATATATATATATATATATATGTATATATAAATGTATATGTATATATATATATAAATGTATATGTATATATATATATATATATATATATATATATATATATATATATATATATATATATATATATATATATATATATACATATATACTATATATATACATGAAAAATAAAGAAGAAATCATGTAAAAAACAACTAAATATCCCATACAAGAAGCATATAAACCAACAAAAAAACACAAACAAAAACAAACTACTTAAAAAAAAAAAGTGAAACAGAAAGCAGGCATAATGAACCAAAGGACAAAAAAAGGGAGGATAAATTAGAAAATTCCTTTGCTATTAAAAGAAAAAAAAAAACGAGAAGTGGCATCTCAAGACACCTGACGTCACACAAGTAGAATGTTATGTAATAAAAAAAAGAACAAAAGAAATAGGAAAATGAGTGATAATAGTGAGGATGAAAAATAAGAATGATAATGTTGTGTAATAAGAAAACAAAAGAAATAAGAAAATGAGTGATAATGGCGTTGATAAAAAATAAAAGAAATATGAAAATAAATTATAATGAAGATAAAATAATTAAAAAATAGAAAATAAATGCTAATGGTAAATGATAAAAAGATAAATAAAATATATATGAAAATAAAAGATAATGTTGAGGGAGAAAATAAAAGAAATAAGAAAATAAATGATAATGATGAGGCTAAAAAAATAAAATAAAATATACAAAAAGAAAAAAATAATAATGATGAGGGTAAAAATAATCAAAAGAATTAAGAAAATAAATGATAATGGTGACAATAAAAAAGTAAAGAAATAAGAAAATAACTGATAATGGTGAGGATGAAAACAATAATAAACAATAAAATAAGTGATAATGGTGAGCATAAAGAATAAAATAAGCAAGAAAATAAATGCTAATAATGATAATAAAATAATAGCATATTCGCGTAGAAAGACTTTGACAAGAAATAAAGATATGTTTGATTCAGAGAAAAAAAAATCATTATTATAAGATACTAGAAAGTCCAGTACATTGAGCTAAGACTTAAAAAAAAAAAAAAAAAAAAAAGAGGAAAAAAAAAATCAGTAAAAACAAGAAAAAGAAGAAGAAAAAGAACAACAACAAAAAAGAAAAAGAAGAAAAAGAAGAAAAATGACAAAGAAGAAAAAGAAGAAAACGAAGAAAAAGAAGAAGAAGAAGAAGAAGCAGAAGAAGAAAGAAACTTTAAAACTCACAAAGGAAGACAAAGAGAACAGAGAACGTGAGAAGCTGTGTTGCACCTCCTGAACGTTGCAATGGCAAAGCAATACAATGCAATACAATCGTGTTTCTTCCTGCTATGAATGCAACGATTCTCTCCAGCTCGAGATGTTGCGTAAGAATGCAATTGGGGGAGAGGGAGGGAGGGGGGAGAGTGGAGTGGAGGGAGGGAGGGAGGGAGGGAGGGGGGAGGGAGGGGGGAGGGAGGGAGGGAGGGAGGGAGGGAGGGAGGGATGGAGGGAAGGTTGGAGGGAAGGTTGGAGGGAAGGAGGGAGGGTGCTGGAGTGGAGGAGGGAAGGAAAGAAGGAGGGAGGAAGGGAGGTGGAGTTGGAGGTGGAAAAGGAAGAGGAAGAGGAGGAGGAGAGGAGGGAGGAGGAGGAGGAGGAGGAGGAGAAGGAGGAGGAAGAGGATCGAGAGAAAAAATAAGAAGTTAAGAGATGAAAAACTAGACAGGGGAGAGGCAGAAGATGTGACTGGAGAGAGAGAGAGAGAGAGAGAGAGAGAGAGAGAGAGAGAGAGAGAGAGAGAGAGAGAGAGAGAGAGAGAGAGAGAGAGAGAGAGAGAGAGAGAGAGGTGTGGGGGGAGAGAGAGAGAGGTGTAGGGGAGAGAGAGAGAGAGAGAGAGAGAGAGAGAGGTGTGGGGAGAGAGAGAGAGAGAGAGAGAGAGAGAGAGAGAGAGAGAGAGAGAGAGAGAGAGAGAGAGAGAGAGAGAGAGAGAGAGAGAGAGAGAGAGAGGTGTGGGGGAGAGAGAGAGAGAGAGAGAAAGAGGTGTGTGTGTGTGTGTGGGGGGGGGGGAGAGAGAGAGAGAGAGAGAGAGAGAGAGAGAGAGAGAGAGAGAGAGAGGAGAGAGAGAGAGAGAGAGAGAGAGAGAGAGAGAGAGAGAGAGAGAGAAAGAGAGGTGTGGGGGGAGAGAGAGAGAGGTGTGGGGGAGAGAGAGAGGGAGAGAGAGAGAGAGAGAGAGAGAAAGAGAGAGAGAGAGAGAGAGAGAGAGAGAGAGAGAGAGAGAGAGAGAGAGAGAGAGAGAGAAAGAGGTGTGGGGGGAGAGAGAGAGAGAGGTGTGGAGAGAGAGAGAGAGAGGTGTGGAGAGAGAGAGAGAGAGGTGTGGAGAGAGAGAGAGAGAGAGAGAGAGAGAGAGAGAGAGAGAGAGAGAGAGAGAGAGAGAGAGAGAGAGAGAGAGAGAGAGAGAGAGAGAGAGAGAGAGGAGAGAGAGAAAGAAAGAAAAAGAGAGAGAAAGAAAGAAAAAGAGAGAGAAAGAGAGAGAGGAAAGAAAGAGAAAAAAGACAGAAAGAGAGAAAGAGAAAGAAAGAAAGAAAAAGACAACAAAAAAACAGAGAAAAGAAAGGAAGAAGAGAGCAGGACAGAAGGCCCAGACACTGACCGAGAAGTCAAGAGAAGAAGAGGGAGGGTGTGGCACTTGCGGAAAGTGGGAGGGGGTGGGGGAGGGAGTGGGGGGAGGGGGGAGGGTGGGAAGGAGAGCATGTGCGAGACGAGGTTACGTGAACACGGTCGTGGGAAGGAAGAGAGAGAGAGAGAGAGAGAGAGAGAGAGAGAGAGAGAGAGAGAGAGAGAGAGAGAGAGAGAGAGAGAGAGAGAGAGAGAGAGAGAGAGACGGAGATAGAGAGAGAGACAGACAGACAGAAGGACGTCACACCCACACCCACACAAATCTCACACCCCTTCCCCCACAACAGAAGATTCTCGAAGTCCCATTTCGAAAGCGCATCAAGGATCAGATGCATCATTAGGAACAACTGCGTCCCTTTCGCCGAAGAAAGTGCGATGGGGGGAGAGGGGGGAGAGGGGGAGAGGGGGGAGAGAGGGGGGAGGTAGGGAGGGAACCGGGACGGGGTTAACGATTACCAAATGGCGGGAAGAGGGAGGGAGGGAGGGAGGGAGGGAGGGAGGGAGGGAGGAAGGGAGGGAGGGAGGGAGGGAAAGGTGAGAACGGGAGGAGGGAAGGAGGGAAAAGTGAGAACGGGAAGAAGGAAGTAGGATGGAGGGAGGGAAGGAGGGAAAGAGGTGGGGATTTAGACGTGAGAGGAAGGGAAGGGAGAAAGGGAGGGAGGGAGAAGAGGCAGGGAGGGAGAGAGGAGAGGCAGGGAGCGAGGGAGATGGAGAGCGAAAGAGATAGGCAGAGGTAGATACGGAATAGACCGACAAATAGATAATTAGGCAGAGATAACAGAGATAGATAGATAGACAAGTGGTTAGAAAGAAAGAAAGAGAGAGAGAGAGAGAGAGAGAGAGAGAGAGAGAGAGAGAGAGAGAGAGAGAGAGAGAGAGAGAGAGAGAGAGAGAGAGAGAGAGAGAGAGAGACAGACAGAGACAGAGAGAATAAAACTAACGACAGACAGATAAAAAACAAAGAAATGCATCACACATCTCAGTTGCAGAATGTTGCAAACCTGACCCAAAAAGAACCGATGACAAGGGGAACACAAACAAACGACAGAGGATGAAGCGTCGGCGCATGACAGAGAATTGACACGGGCTGAAAACACCGTAAATGGAGAGGGGCTGCGTGGGGGTGGGCGGGAGTCGAGGTCTGGGGAAGGGGGGGGGAGTGAAGGGGGAGTAAGGGAGTGGGACGAATGAGAGGGGAAGTAGAGAGGATCGAGTAAAGAGAGGAGTGAAGGGGAGGTGAGTGGGGAGGGGGGTGAGGGGGAGTGGGGGGGAATGAGAAGGAGTGAGGGAGAGTGGGGAGGGGAGGAGGGGAGGAGGGGGTGAGGGGATGTGGGGGAGGGGGAGGTGGGTAGGGAGGAAAGTGGGGAGGGAGATGAGGGGGAGTTGAGTGGGGAGGGGGTGAGGGGAAGTTGGGAAGAAGGGGGAGTGGGGAGGGGTGTGGGAAGGGGGATGAGGGGGAGTGGGGAGGGGATGAGGGGGAGTGGGTAGGGGATGAGGGGGAGTGGGGAGGGGGTGAGGGGGAAATTGGGGAGGGAAAGGAGTAAAGTAAGCGAGTAAAGAAGAGGAAAGAAGTGGGAGGGAAGAAAAAGGAGGAGGAACGGGGACGGAAATAAAAACGGAGAAAGAAGTGAAAGGGAAC